TAAACTATGTAGATTTCGTGTGAGTTCTTGGAATACAACTTCCACGATATATTCGATGGCATGATAGGAGGAAACATATTAAATGATTTAAACGCAATAATAAACTATTCAGAACAGACAATTACTTTGAATAATGTTAAACTAAACTTCTACACAGGCATCCAAATACGTTAAATAGTCCGGAAGTTAACACTAGCCATAGCGTGTCGTTAGAATATATAAACCCTATTTCTCAGAAACTACTCACTCCAGTTTTAAAACGATTTGAAGGTATATTTTATAAAGAAGGAGATAATTTAACCTTTACGAGTGAAGTTAAACATAAAATTCATACAAAAATGATATTCCTATCTATTCGAAAGCCTATAGGTATCCCGAGGCCCATAATGACAAAGTAAACAAACAAATATCCGATATGCTAAAACAAGGAATAATAAGACATTCGAATAGTCCGTACAACAGTCCCTTATAGGTTGTCCAAAATAAATTGGATAAATCAAATCAACCGAAATGGCGACTTGTTGTCGACTACAGAAAATTAAACTCGCAAACAATTGAAGATCGCTATCCTATTCCTAATATAGATGAGATATTTCATAAGCTGTATGGATGTAAAATATTTTCTTCCTTAGACTAAGCAAAGGGTTTCTATCAAATTGAAATGAGCGAGAGCGATATCCAAAAGACGGCATTTTCCACTGCTAGCGGGCACTACGAATTCTTGCGTATGCTATTCGGTCTTCGAAAAGCTCCCGCAACCTTTCAACAGCTTATGAACCACTTACTCAGAAACTATATAGACCATTTTTGTATTGTATACATGGACGATATTCTTATATTTTCGAAAACAATCGAAGAACATATTGAGCACCTTACCAAAATATTAAATTGCTTGGAGAATGCAAACTTAAAGCTTCAAATTGACAAATGTGTGTTTGCCAAATGCGAAATAGAGTTTTTAGGGCACGTTCTAAATTCAGACGGTCTGAAACCCAGCAAAAAAAAAATTGAGGCAATCGATAGGATTAAATTGCCAACAACGCAAAAACAAATAAAAAGTTTTCTGGGCATGACTAGCTACTTAAGGCGATACATAAAAGATTACTCTAAAATTGCAAAACATTTAATAAAATTCCTGAAAAAAAATTCTAAAATTAATACAAATGATTTAGAATTTATAGAATCTTTGGAAAAGCTAAAAGTCTTAATAAAAAGCGAACCAATTGTAGCCTACCCTGACTTTCAAAAACAGTTTACACTTATTACAGACGGTAGCAACCATGCCTTGGGAGCGGTGCTAATGCAGGATACCAAAGTAATATGTTATGTCAGCCGTACTTTAAAAACCCACGAACTGAACTATAGCACGATTGAAAAGGAATTTCTAGCTATTTTCTGGGGCGTCAAACATTTTCATTATTATTTATATGGGAGAAAGTTTTTAATAAAAACCGACCACCGCCCACTAGTATGGCTAAACAACTTAAAAGAACCCAATTTAAAGCTACAGAGATGGAAAATTCAACTAAATGAATATGATTTCGATATAGCTTTCATTAAAGGAAAAGAAAATGCTATAGCAGACGGACTAAGTAGGATATGCACTGATAATAATTTGTTAGATTGTCCCGAAGTCAATAGAAGTGATCTAATCCAGCTGAATAAAGCTTATATATTGGTAGGCGAACTCGACAATACAAAGCAAACCGTCGAAACAATTGACGAACTAAACAACGACTTTTCGTTAGACCTAATAAACCTTTTTTCAAATCAATCCACTAATTGTGAAACCATCCACAGTGCTCAATCCGATAACTTATGCTATATAAAAAATACAGATAACGCGTTAAACATATTTAAGTCGCAAATAGTACTAAAACTATGGCAAAAGGAATCGCGAGCCACCAAAATCTTGTATAAACGAAAAATAAGACACATTATAGAAACAATAGGAAATAAGACCACCATTTTAGAATTAATGCCGGAAGTCTTACCAGATAAAGGCCTAGTAGCCATTTATTGCGAAGCTTAATTTGTACGTGAAATTCCAGGAATGTTACAGACAATACTTCGCATGCAACGAAAACTTAAAACTAATAAGATCGTTTATTTTGCTAAAAGATGTAACAGATAAAGAACAAATTTTAAAAATAATAAATGAAGAACATTTAAAAAACAAACATAGAGGTATTAACGAAATCTTTGCCGAAATAAAAAAAATGTATTACTATCCGAATCTTCAGAAAGAAATTCAGAAATATGTTAATAATTGTAAAATTTGTAACTTGGCCAAATATGATCGAAACCCCTTAAAATATAAGCTAAACATAACCGATACCCCTTCGCAACACAACGAGATAATCCATCTAGATATTTGGTTCCCCATGCGAAAAATTATGTACCTTACTACAATAGACAAATTCACAAAATACGCTACTGCTTGTTATATTAAAGATAGATCTTGGGTTTCGTTGCTAAAGGCTATACAAGAGAGAATCCAGTGCTTAGGCAAGCCCAAGCTTATTATAACGGATAATGAATTTAATATAAATTGCATAAAACAGTTTCTTATAGATAATAATATAGAAATACATTTCACGACACCGTATAAAAAAACAGGGAACTCAGATGTTGAGAGACTACACTTGACATTAAATGAGCACATCCGACTTTTTAATGCAGACGAGAAAAACAATGATACGATTCAAAACAAAGTATTTAAAGCAATGGTATGCTATAATAATACTATTCACTCTATTACAAAGATGAAACCAATCGATTTCCTAAACAACATCCTAAGTGCAGAACAACAACAAAACATCGCGAAAAAAATCAAACATAATAAGGAACTCTTAAATTTAAAAAATAATAATATTAATGGGAAAATTTTGAAAATGATTATGTTAAAAATTATAAATTTGGTAAATCAAATCCTAAGTATAAGCTAGTTCAAAACTATCATCAAGATGGAAACTACCTAATATCAAATGAAGTCGCAAACGCAAAAATATACAAAGACCAAGTCAAAAGAAAATACACATTCCAAAATTGAAATAAGTTTATAAGAGTTATAAATTTCTACAATTAAGATTGCAGAAACTTGTCGTGGGTGAGTCACATATCCAAGTATAACTATTTGTATACCCTTAATTGTAACCTACATGTATAAGCTTAGCCTAAGAATAAAGATAAGAAAGAAAGACATTATAATAAAAGCTCGGATCAAGTAGTCGTCTTTGAAACGATTTAAATGAGATTTCATAATTGGAACTTAATCTTTGCGGGACCTAACTAGCAATTAGACTTGCAACAACGACTCGATCGAAACCGGCAATTAAAATTGGCTAAGAACGCCTTTTTACCAAAATCGACACCCTCGAGAAAGTCAACTGACGGTGTCGCGTATAATGGGCCAAGTCGCGATCTAACTATATGCCTCCTGCGTTGGTGTAGTCGGCAGTTTGCCTACCACACTTTATTTCCTGCGTTGGCGTAGAAGGATTTGCCATTCCTTCCACACTTTTCTGGTTCTGCTGCTGGTTTTTTTTTTTTTGGCCTTTTTGATTCAGGCGGCGCCGGTGCTGGTCATCCCACAGGCTGATGATTTTTATTTTTGTATTTTTTTTTTTGTTGTTGTCCGGGCCTTTTGGACTCAGGCGGCGCCGGTGCTGGTCATCGCACAGGCTGATAATTTTAAAACAAATTTTCCTTAATTTACAGCTTTTATATATTTAAAAAAACATTCACATCACTTTATGATATTTTTTTTTATTGATTTGCACTTTTGTTTTCAATCCGAAGATAGCACTATTCACAGTCACGGTCGCCATGTAATAAGTTCAATCGATTCTATATTTAATAATTATTTTAATGAATTTAATAAGGTTATAATAGGCACTAATAAATGTGCATTTGGTGAATGTTGCCGCTTGACTTAAGAATAAGTTGGCTTATGTATCTAAATATCTATATTAATGTATATGTGCCACTGCAGAGCAGCGGTCAATGCTTATGCATAAGTGTATATAAGCGGCGCAATTAGCAGCCGCGCATGAGGGAGAGGGTGTTATGCTCACATGATAACCGAATGATCGGCCGCGCATGCAGACATGCCGGCTCAGCATTTAGGATGCTCATAACATTGTTGTGTGTGTCGAATTACTCCGCACTTGAAGTGCTGGGAATATTAAGACATAAACAAATGCCACAATGTTGCAGTGATATAAGTGGTACAGTGTGTACCCGATATGTGAGCATACTACAGCAATCCTACCTACGCTGCAGCGGGGTAAAGCGGGCGGGATAGCGGTGGGGAAATCCGCGACTACGAGTTGAAGACTGTCACCTTCGGAGTAAATTGTGTCCCGTTCCTAGCGATCCGTGTCCTGCAACAGCTCGCCGACGACGAAGAGTCGAGGTATCCGCAGGCAAGTCGGATTATCCAACAGTACATGTACGTCGACGACGTACTCGAGTGGGCTGAATCCAAAACCGAGGCGCAGGTGGCTATCCGCGAGCTCAAGGGGGCCCTGGCTTCGGTAGGTTTCCCACTTAGGAAATGGACATCCAATAGTAAGGCGATTTTGGCCAACATCCTGAGTAACCATCTCCTTCGCGCGGAATTCCTTGAAATCGACGCAGAGAGCACGGCTAAAACTCTCGGCGTGCGGTGGAAGGCGACGTCTGATGAGTTTTTCTTCATTACGAATTGACCTCGAGATCGTCGTTCACGAGGCATCAGGTCCTATACCAAATGGCCAAACTATTTGATCCAGCGGGCAACTTGCCCCCTTCATTGTCCGGGCAAAGATAGTATGCAGGACATGTGGCTCAAGAATCTAGGTTGGGACGATGCCCTCCCTCGAGATTTTTGTCTTCCTGGAAAATTACTCCGCTCTCGATTCCGCATTCCCCGATGGGTCGCTTTCCGACCTCATTTAAAAAGCGAGTATCATGGGTTCTGCGACGCTTTGCAAAAGGCGAGCGGCGCCGCCATTTACGTCCGAGTTGAGGCTGGGTCCGCAGTAGTGGTGAACTTGCTGACGGCAAAGACGTGGGTGGCCCCAGTAAAAACGGTGTCGCTCCCGCGGCTCAAGTTGTGCGGAGCCTTGTTATTGTCCGAGATGGCCAACGCCATTCTTCCGAAGATGCCCGGGCCTGCGTCCGCCCTGCACTGTTGGACTGGCCCTACGATTGTTCTCGGTCTCAATGGACAACGTACGTGGCAAATCGGGTGACCAAGAACACCGAGTTTACCGAGGTGGAGAAATGGGCACATGTCCGCTCCGAGCATAACCCGGCAGATCTCACTAGCCGGGGGTAGCGCTTCAAGACCTCGCGGACAGCCAGCTGTGGTGGCATGGTCCTGTCGAGTGGCTCATTCAAGGCTATCACTCCCCTGAGACTGAACTCGGGAAGCGAGCAGTCAAAGGCCGTGCGAAGGCTTCCCCTGAAGACATTCCTGAGCGTTTTTCCACACTCGACAAGGCGGTGCGAGTCCTCGCTTACGCTCAACGCTTCATCCAGCGCTCGCAAAAGTTCATGTCTCCGTTTGAGGATCTTTTGACAGCTCCTGAAATTGCGTCGGTCTCCTGATTTCCGTCACGCAAAAACGGCCAGAGCCAGGATCCAGCATTGATCAAAACGTGAACCCGTTCCTTGATCCCCAAGGGCTCATGAGAGCATGCCGTCGGGTCACGGCCTCCGAACTTAACCAATATGACGAAAGGCATCCTGTCATCTGTCTCGACTCCTCGTCCAATTTACGCATCGCCTAACGCTGCACGGTGGCAATCAGCTGATGATCCGTCTGATCGGTTCCAAGTTCTGGATCCCCAGGGTGAGGAATTTGGTCAAGTCCGTCATATATTCGTGCAAGGTATGCGTCATCCACAAAAAGAAGTTGGAAATGCAACTCATGGGAGACTTACCCAAAGAAGGTTCGTCCAGATCGCTTTCACATATACTGGTGTGGACTATGCCGGTCCCTTCGAAATCAAAAACTACACGGGACGAGCCTGTCTCATTACTAAGGGGTATGTGTTGCTGTTCGTGTGCTTCGCCACTAAGGTCATCCATCTACATCCTACGTCCGACCATACGACTGAGAAGTTTCTCGCCGCTTTCACTGGTTTCGTGTCCCGAAGAGTATGTCCCCGTCAAGATCAGTCGGACAACGGGAAAACCTTTATAGGTGCGGCTGCCCCACTCTCCCGAGATATTCTCCAAGCTCTCAAAGAGGCTGTGACGGGTGCCTATAGTCATCAGCAGCTGCTTCGGAGGCAATTGACGACATCAGGCCTAGCAGTCCATGACAATTTCCGCCAAGGTCGACAACTGCGAGCGCCCCAGAACGCAGGCTTAATTCATACGAGGCCAGAGGAAAGCAGCTTTGCCTGAACTGTTTTCCACGAGGGCACCTGCAACAGGATGGCACTAGTGACCATAGCTGCTTCACATGTTACAGCCGTCCTGTACCCTCCTGTACCGCGGTAATCCATTCGCGGCCGCTCCATGTCCGTCTGCGTCAGCCAGGTCTCGACCCGCGCCTTTTTGCAAGGGGCACGGGCGCATCAGAGGATCATTCTGATGTGCAAGTGGGCTTCGCTTCCGCCTCAAGAGCCGTTCTACTGGGCACAGCCCTCACTCACATATGCCATCTAGGGTGCAATTTCCAGGCCCGAGCTTTGATCGATTTTGGTTCCGAAGCAACCTATATTAGGGAGAGGCTTTTCAACCTCATCAAACTCCCATTCAAGACTATCCAGCCACAAGCCTCTGATCTTAATCAAACCGTTGTCGCTCAGTCTACGAAACTCTGCCATTCGATCGCCTTCCAGACCGGGCTGCAGTTAGAACATGTACGTCCCGCGAGCTCAAGGGGGACCTGGGTTCGGCAGGATTCCCACTTGGGAAATGTACATCCAATACTAAGGCGATTTTCGTCAACATCCAGAGTGACCATCTCCTTCCTGAAGATTTCCTCAAAATCGACGCAGAGAGCACGGCTAAAACTCTCGGCGACGTTTCCGCCCGAATTGGCCTCAAGATCATCGTTCACGAGGCGTCAGGTCCTATCCCAATTTGACAAGCTATTTGATCCAGCGGGCTGGCTCGCCCCTTCATTGTCCATGCAAAGAAGTTCATGCTGGAAATTTGGCTCCAGAATCTAGGACCACCACATCCAATTTAAACCGCTGGCAACACCTGAAGGCTCTTCAGTAATTTCGTCTGCGATGGAAGGAGGAGTACCTCAAGGAACTCCATAAGCGGAATAAGTGGCGAGCCCCTACAAAAAATCTCGGTGCCGGGGACATGGGAGTTTTCAAGGTAGACAAGCTTCCGTCCAATGAGTGGCAATTAGGCAGAATTGACGCGGTGTTTCCTGGATCCGAAGGCCATGTCCGTGTAGTCGACATCCGCTCTGCGCGGGGACTCATCAAGCGTCCCATAGCGAAGGTCGTCCTTCTTTCGATGGAAGCGTCCGCCTGCCCGCAATAACCAGTCGCCCCTCTTCTCCAGTGATCTAATTGATCGTTTCGATTCGAAGCTCCAATTCATAGTTTCGTAGTTCTTATCAGTACTGATCCAAATTTTTCATCTGTCCTATTCCGGCAATCAGATCACTCACGATGTTTCCACGATCCATCCACTTAGGAAATGTCGTCGGTTCCTCCGTCTGAGTGCCGAGAAGAGGCTCCGGGCTGTCCTTGCCAACCGGTACTGCCACCGCTGTTTGGCCCACGAGCACTCCGACGGCGTGTGATGGCGAGGTGATCACTGCAAAACGTGCGGGCAAGATCACCACACGCTCCTGCATCTCTACGATGTCTTCACGCCAGTCCCGGGGGCACGCCGGTCGCGGAGCACCGTTGCAACTCCACGGAACTCTTCAGCCGCTTCTCAGCCAATTTTCCGCTACTCGTCGCGGTGCCACGCAGACTGCGGTCGCCGCTCCGTCTGCAGAGGCACCTCCTTCCGACTGTTCGGTGGGGTTAGATAGTGGGACTCGAGTCTTCAACACTGCGGCGCTCATCGACCCTTGTACGCCTACAAGCTACATTGACGCGTCGCTAGCGGCGAGTTTCCGCTTAGCCTCACGTGCGCATCCGCTCGACAATCCGGGAGCTGAGCGAAGCGGTGCGGACCCGTTTCCGGGATATTACGCTTGCTAACGAGCGCTTCTACCTCCCCGCGACGATCTCCATAGTCTTGGGCGCGGATATGTATCCGAGCATTATGCGGCCGGGCTTCCTCAAAATCCAGGATGGACTACCGGTGGCCCAGAACACCGTGTTTGGCTGGATCGTGTCCGGAGCCTACCACCAGCCGTAAGCAGGACGACTATGTTGCAAGACGGGGCGGAATGTTTAGCTCAGCGGCCCACTGTACTGCCGCTGCTCATTGTTCCGAGCTTTTCTCTCTCGCCACTCTTGCGCTCCCGCTCTTAGTCTCTTGCAGCTTCCGCGCTCCGAAGCGCGGGCCTAAGTTTCTAATCCGAACTCCACGGTCGGCCTTTGCCGAACTCCCGCTCTCGCTTCAGCGGAGTAAAGCGGGCGGGATAGCGGTTTTATGTTTAAGCTTTAATTAGTTAGTTCCGATGGGGAAATCCGCGACTACGAGTTGAAGACAGTCACCTTCTGGGTCAATTGTGCCCCGTTCCTAGCGATCCGTATCCTGCAACAGCTCGCCGACGACGAAGAGTCGAGGTATCCGTAGGCCAGTCGGATTATCCGACAGTACATGTACGTCGACGACGTACTCGCGGGGGCAGACTCCAAAACCAAAGCGCAAGCGGCTATCCGCGAGCTCTAGGGGGCCCTGGATTCAGCAGGATTCCCTCTTAGAAAATCCAATAGCAAAGCGATTTTGGCCAACATCCAGAGAGAGCACGACGCAGAGAGCACGGCTAAAACTCTCAACGTTCACAAAGCGTCAAGTCCTATCCCAAATCGCCAAACTATTTGATCCAGCGGGCTGGCTCGCCCCCTTCATAGTCCGGGCAAAGATGTTCATGCAGGACATTTGGCTCCAAAATCTAGGATGGGACGATGCCCCCCATCGATATTTTTGCCAAAGATGGGTTGACTTCCTGGAAAATTACTCCGCTCTCGATCATATCCATATTCCCTGATGGGTCGCTTTCCGACCACATTTCAAAATTGAGCATCATGGGTTCTGCGACGCCTCGCAGAAGGCGAACGGCGCAGCCATCTACGTCCGAGTTAAGGCTGGGTCCGAGGTAATGGTGAACTTGCTCACGGCAAAGACACGGGTGGCCCCAGTAAAAACGGTGCCTTGTTATTGTCCGAAATGGCCAACGCCGTTCTTCCGAAGATGCCCGGGCAGGCGTGCGCCTTGCTCTGTTGGACGGACTCTACGATTGTTCTCGCCTGGTTGCATAAGCCAGCGTGCCACTGGACAACGTTCGTTGCAAATCGTGTGAGCAAGATCACCCAGCTCACCGAGGTGGAGAAATGGGCACACGTCCGCTCCGAGCATAACCCGGCAGATCTCGCTAGCCGGGGAGATGCGCTTCAAGACCTTGCGGACAGCCAGCTGTGGTGGCATGGTCCTGCCTGGCTGCAGTAGCCTCGCTGCGAGTGGCCCACTCACGGCTATGAACCCCCTGTGACTGAACTCGAGAAGCGAGCAGTCAAAATCCATATTGCGAAGGCCCCCCCTGAAGACATGCTTGAGCGTTTTTCCACACTCGACAAGGCGTTGCGAGTCCTCGCTTACGCTCATCGGTTCATCCAGCGCTCGCGAAAGCTCATGTCTCCGTTTGAGGATCCCTTGACAGCTCCTGAAATTGCGTCGGCCGAGCGGCTCCTGATTTTCGTCACGCAACGCAGGCACTTTGCCCTTGAGATTGGCTGCTTAAGCCAAAAACGGCCAGTGCCAGCATCCAGCCTTGTCCAAAACCTGAACCCTTTCATTGATTCCCAAGGGCTCATGAGAGCATATGACCGAGTCACGTCCTCCGAACTTCTCCAGTATGATGAACGGCATCCTGTCATCCTTCCATACGACTGCCATCTGTCTCGACTCCTCGTCCAATTTACGCATCGCATAACGCTGCACGGTGGCAATCAGCTGATGATCCGTCTGATCCGATCCAAGTTCTGGATCCTGAGG